TTTTTTTTTTGAGACAGAGCCTTGCTCTGTCACGTAGGCTGAAGTGCAGTGGTGCAGTCATGACTCACCACAGCCTCAAATTCCTGGGCTCAAGTGATCCTCCTACCTTAGCCTCCACAGTAGCTGGAACCACGGGAGTGAATCACCACGCCCGTCTAACTTTTAAATTTTTGTAGAGATGGGGTCTCGCTATGTTGCCCAAGATGGTCTCCAACTCCTGGCCTCAAATGATCCTCCTGGCTAGGCCTCCCAAAGCACTGGTATTACAGGCGTGCACCATTCTGCTGGCTGTTCACCCCCCTTTTACTCTTCTTTAAGTTTTACAAGCACTTTAAAAGAAAGATTTTCTTTAAGTTCTGAGACACGTGCAGAACGTGCGGGTTTGTTACGTAGATATATGTGTGCCGTGGTGGCTTACGGCACCCATCAACCCGTCATCTACGTTTTAAGTCCCTGGTGCATTAGGTGTTTGTCCTAATGCTGTCCCTCCCCTTGGCCCCCCACCCGCCGACAGGCCCCGGTGTGTGATGCTCCCCTCCCTGTGCCCATGTGTTCTCATCATTTAACTCCCATGTATGAGTGAGAGCACATGGTGTTTGGTTTCTGCTCCTGTGTTAGTTTGCGGAGAGTGACCGCAGCTTCATACATTTCCCTGCAAAGGACATCAACTAATTCTTTTTTCTTTTTTTTTGAGATGGAGTTTCGCTCGTCACCCAGGCTGGAGTGTAATGGCTCGATCTCGGCTCACCGCAACCTCTACCTCCCGGGTTCAAGTGATTCTCCTGCCTCAGCCTCCCAAGTAGTTGGGATTACAGGCATGTACCACCGTGCCCGGCTCATTTTGTATGTTTAGTAGAGACTGGGTTTCTCCATGTTGCTCAGGCTGGTCTTGAACTCCTGACCTCAGGGGATCTGCCCACCTGGGCCTCCCAAAGTGCTGGGATTACAGGTGTGAGCCATCATGCCCAGCCTAACTCATTCTTTTTTATGGTTGCAGAACGCTTTTTTTTAAAGCACCCCAGTCGCCCGCACTCGGCCCTGTGTTCTCAGGGACACACTGGTAGAACCCTGGCACCGTTTTGCTCATGGGTAGACACATGTGGTCACCCACACCCCACCCCTCCTCCTAGTCCAGCCCCACCCCCTCCCTGCACGTCTGTCCCAGTGTGGGGTGAGGGCAGGGAAGGTATAAGGTTAGGCGCAGGTGGGGAATGGGTCTTTGGGAGGTCCTGAGGCCCCCCACCTGCTGCATATTTTCTCAGGCCCACCCGGGAACCCCTCCCCGCTGAGGAGGCAGGTCAGAGCCGCTGCTGTCTGCTGGCTGCCAGCCCGCTATGTTCTTCTGCAGCCAGGAGGGCCGGCGGGGGCTGTGCGTGCGCCAGGGGGTGTCACAAGGTCGTTCAGCAAACTCTCCCCTGTGGGGTGCCAACCCTGTGGCTCCCACCCCGGACGCACAGCTCATGCTGCCACCTGGGACAGCCCGCTGTGCGTGGGACCACGGTTGCATTTCTCTCTGGGGCCTGCGGTGTCTGGGGTCCGTGGGTCCCTGCTGACCACAAGGCACAGTTAAGCTGCACCCACCAGGCAGGGAGCAGGCGGAGAGGCTGAAGGCCAAGGCGGCGGCCAAGGTGGAGGGAGTCAGCCACGGGCGTACAACATCGGTGAACTCAGCCCCTGACCTTGGTGACCGCAGGCCAGGCGCAGTCCCTTCCGGCCTCAGTTTCCCCATCTGTGAGTGACTCCCTCTAAGCCCCTGCCAGCTCTGACATGGGAGTTAGGCTTTCCCAGAGTCCTTCCCCAGCACCCTTTTTTCCTTCACACATTTCTGCAAGTGCTTATTGAGCACCGACTGCATACCAGGGACCCCAGCGGGACCTGGGACGGCCCAGGCCTGGCGCCCGGGAGCGGCCAGTGGCTTCAGTGACGTGGTGCCCTCTGTGATTGACGTCACAGAAGCAAGCGCTGCTGGCGCGGGTCCCAGGAGCTCCCGGCCGGGGACTGTGGGTGCTGCAGGGATGCGTGGGGCCGCGGTGCCCCCTGGCGGCCGGACGCGGGATGACGGGACTCTGCGCGCCCTGCGTGGCTGGCAGCCCAGGAGCCCGGAGTCTCACTCTGTTGCCCCGACTGGAGGAGTCTCGCTCTGTTGCCCCGGCTGGAGTGCAGTGACGCGATCTCAGCTCACTGCAACCTCCGCCTCCCAGGTTCACGCGATGGTCCTGCCTCAGCCTCCCGAGTAGCTGGGGTTACAGGTGCACACCACCACACCCAACTATTTATATTTTTAGTAGAGACGGGGTTTCACTATGTTGGTCAGGCTGGTCTTGAATTGCCGACCTCAGGTGATCCGCCTGCCTCGGCCTCCCACAGCGCTGGGATGACAGGTGGGAGCCACCGCGGAGGGTGTTTTTTGTTTTTATTTTAGATGGAGTTTCGCTCTTGTTGCCCAGGCTGTAGTGCAGTGGCTCCATCTTGGCTCATTGCAACCAGCACCTACCAGGTTAAAACGATTCTCCTGCCTCAGCTTCCCGAGTGCCTAGGACTACAGACACCCACCACCACACCTGGCTAATTTTTTTTTTTTTTTTTTTTTTTTTTTTTTTGGTAGAGATGGGGTTTCACCATGTTGGCCATGCTGGCCTTGAACTCCCGACCTCAGGTGATCCATCCACCTCGGCCTCCCAAAATGCTGGGATTACAGGTGTGAGCTACTGCCCCTGGCCCATGAAACCACTTTGGAAAGCAGTGTGGCCCCGTCTGCCACAGCTGGATGTATGATCACTACAGTGGGTTAGACACCCCTATCTAGGGGTGTCCAAGTCCTAACCCCCCAGAAACTCCTTCTGTGACCTCACTTGGTAAAAGGCTGTAATTAAGGAGCTTGAGGCCGGGCGCGGTGGCTCAAGCCTGTAATCCCAGCACTTTGGGAGGCCGAGGCGGGTGGATCACGAGGTCAAGAGATCGAGACCATCCTGGTCAACATGGTGAAACCCCGTCTC